TCTTGTGTCCTCTCTGCCTGACGTTGCTGACCCTCCGTCTGACCTTGCTCGTGCGTCTAGTCCGACTGTTACTCGCCTTCTTGCTACGGTTGTGACGGACCCTACGTTCTCGTCTCCTGCTGCGTCTGCCCTAGTAGCTGAGCTCGTTGACTTTTCTGCTGTGTACCACCTAGACTACCTTGCGAGTCTTGTCTCTGACCCTGTCCCTGCTTGTCCTCCGTCCGTCGGGGGTGAGACTGCTCTTGGCTGTACTGCCCTTGGCTGTGACGTTCTTGAGGACAGACAGGAGGAGCTGGAGTGCCTTGCTGCCGCTTCACCCCATCACGCGACCATGCTGCTTGCCCCTAAGGGAGACCCGGATGCACTTGACATCCCCACCCCGCGCTCCTACAGGGAGACGATTCCGGGTGAGTACTCCTCTCAGTGGCAGACAGCCATGGACGCAGAGATGGCTTCTTGGAAGTCCACAGGCACCTACGTCGACGAGGTTCCCCCACCTGGGGCGAACATCGTCAGTGGCATGTGGATTTTCAGGGTGAAGCGGCCGCCGGGTTCTCCGCCTGCCTTCAAGGCACGTTACGTTGCACGAGGCTTCAGTCAGCGTGAGGGGGTCGACTTCTTTCAGACCTTCTCCCCCACCCCGAAGATGACCACTCTTCGGGTGTTGCTACACGTTGCAGCTCAGCGTGACTACGAGCTGCACTCCCTCGACTTCTCGACAGCTTTCTTGCAGGGTAGCCTTCACGAGGCCATCTGGTTGTGCCGTCCACAGGGCTTCACTGGGTCGTTTCCTGAGGGTACCCAGTGGAGCCTACGGCGACCAGTGTACGGCCTGCATCAGGCGCTTCGTGAGTGGCACGACACACTGAGGACGACACTTGCGGCTCTTGGGTTTGCTCCTTCGACTGCTGTCCCGTCGGTGTTTCTCCGCACCGACACTACTCTGCCGCCGTTCTATATCCTCGTGTACATCAACGACTTGGTTTTTGCTACTGCTGACACTGAGGCACTGGCCCTAGTGAAGGCGGAGCTGCAGGATAGACACACCTGCACTGACCTGGGTGAGCTGCGGAGCTATCTTGGCTTGCAGATCACCCGGGACAGACCACGGCGCACCATCACCCTCACTCTGTCACACATGGTGCACCAGGTCCTTCAGTGCTTCCGCTTCACTTGGTCCTCGCCACAGCCCACTCCTCTGTCTACCAGCCACTCGCTCTCAGCTCCACCTTCGGACGAGTCCGTAGAGCCGAGTGGTCCATACCCAGAGCTTGTGGGTTGCCTCATGTACCTGATGACGTGCGCACGACCTGACCTCGCGTACCCTCTCAGCCACCTGGCTCGCTACGTGGCACCTGGTCGACACCGAAAGGTGCACTTTGATGCTGCGAAGAGGGTACTGCGTTACTTGTGCAGCACATCGGGCATGGGGCTCGTGCTTGGAGGACGGGGTTCGGTTGTCCTCATAGGACACTCTGACGCTTCTTGGGCCGACGACCAGACGACTCAGCGTTCGTCACAGGGTTACACCTTCAGTCTTGGCTCTGGTTCTGTCTCGTGGAGGTCCACTCGTTCTTCTTGTGTGCTTGGTTCCAGCTGTGAGGCCGAGATCTACGCTGGGGCCATGGCTGCACAGGAGCTACGATGGCTGACCTACCTGCTGACCGACTTGGGGGAGCGGACTCGTTCTCCTCCAGTTCTGTACGTCGACAACAAGGCAATGCTTGCCTTGTGTCGCGAGCAGAGACTGGAGCACAGAACGAAGCACATTGCTCTTCGCTACTTCCTTGCACGTGAGCTGCAGCAGCGTGGTCAGCTGCGCCTTGCTTACGTGGCCTCTCGGGCCAACACTGCTGATGTCTTCACCAAGGCCCTCGGGTCTGGTGATCTTCAGCGTTTTTGCACTGCTCTTGGGCTTGTGCCCACTCTGCCTCACCTACTGGTTGCTTGACTTGCTCTTGTTGTACACTGATATATATCTTTATACCTGCTTGTTTACTCTTGCTAGGTTGTGATCAGTGTACTGCCTTGCTATTATACCTCTGCATGTGAACTGGCCTTGTGGCCGCTTGCTTGTGCTCTGATTGTGTGGTGTCCTTGAGATCCACCCTGAGCTTTGCTTTGCTTTGCTTGTTCTCTTGCTTGACTGGTCTTGTGACCGTCTGTTGTGTTTGATATCTCCCACTTAGCCTATGGGGGTGTTCAAACTGTATGTTTGTGTTCTCTCTAGGCTATAGTGGGTTAGCCTACAAGGGGTACAACACTTTAGGGTTAGGTACTTGTACTCATGCATGCTACCTAGTCCATCATTCATTCCTGCTTATTATAACACGGTCAGCCGTCATACCTCCGTCAGAATTCTCCTCGCCATCGCTGCCGCACGACACCTCCCGCTCCGACAAATCGATGTGAAGAATGCGTTCCTGTACGCGTTAGTGGATGCAGTGATCTACGTGGAGCAGCCGCACACATACGGCGAAGGGGATTCGCGTGTCTGCTAGCTGCGAAAAACCCTTTACGGGATCAAACAGGCGCCGAGGCTCTGGCAGCAGTACCTGCACAACATACTGCTTGAAATCGGGTTCAAGCAGTTGCCTCACGATCCTGGGATGTATCGCCGCGATTTCCGCGGCGAATACATCATACTCACGGTCTACGTCGACGACCTCCTCTACACAGGGTCAAGCAACGAGTTGCTTGAGCAGTTCGAGAAAAACCTCGCAGGGCGCGTCGACATCACCTGCAACCATGACGTGAAGCAGTTTCTCGGGCTCAACATCTCCTACTCGCCGGAAGCCATTCATCTCTCAGCAGCTAAGTACGCAGAGGAGCTTAGCAAGCGCTTCAACATTGCGCCTGCACCACTCTCCACCCCTTACCGCACTCCAGGACCCAACCACAAGCCTGACAACAAAGCCCTGTCCCCTGCTGGGCTTCACACCTACCAGCAGCAGTTGGGATGCCTACTCTTTGCATCTGTTACTTGCATGCCCGATCTCTCCTACATCGCGAGCCAGTTGGCTCAGTACTCTCGCAAACGAACGGCTGAGAATCTACTAGACCTCCAGCGGGCACTTCAGTTCTTCATCTCCACGCCCAATGTTGGGCTCTGCTACTCCACCATCCCAACCTCGTCCTTCAACCTCATCGGCTACGTGGATGCCGATCACGCCGCTGACCCCGACAATCGACGGTCCAGGACAGGCTTTCTTTTCCGCCTCGAGCCCAGCGGTCCCATCTCCTGGAATTCACAAAAGCAGGAGCTGGTTGCCCTGTCATCGGCGGAAGCTGAATTCATCGCAGCAACAGCAGCCGTTCGCGAAACGGTGCCGCAGGAGGCAAAAATTCCAGCCTCGGCGAACTTTCGCCTGCACTGCGACAATCAGAGCGCGATCAGGATCGCGAACAAGCCCGGATTCGTCAACCGCACCAAACACATCGCGCTGCGGTACTTCTTCGTCAAGGACGAAGTTGACAAGGGCAAGGTTGACCTACCCTACTGCCCGACGGGTGACATGGCAGCTGACTTCCTCACGAAGAAGCTGTCACGTCAGCAGTATCAACACTGCTCTGAACTCAGCGGAGTAGTCAAGCGGGTCAAGACTCGCTACGGCCAGGAGTGAAGGGGGGTGTTACGAATAGTAAATGTTGAAATATCACTGTGCACTCCTCACCGCAGCAATCGAAGCACGCACTACCGAGAATGAAGACGAAAGGACGGAAGTGACGCGAAGGGTCGTACGGTTACGAAGGCATCTGGACCGTTGGGCAGACAGCATCAGGCAGCAGCAGTGGCGAGGATTCTGCCTAGGCAGTTTGTAACCGTCTGGAGTCGCACGGTTGGGTTTTCGCTGCAATAAGGGAATGTACCCCTTAGAGTACATGGCTAGTTAGGTCAATTTATATTCCCTCTTGTACTCTTATTTATACCCTTGTACTTGCATGTTTTTTATCATCTCAAGCATCTTATATTCACTCTGCTATTGAGGTCAAGGGCCCACCACCACTACTCAGTCGTGTACGAACCTTTCCTGAGGTGATCCTAGGCACGATCAACTTCTGATCGCAACATGGTATGAGAGCGACTCAGGAATCCTTCGCACCGCCACCACCGAAATCTTCGGCGAACAGAAAGTGGCGTCCGGCACACGCTCACGCGTGAGAATGGCCGGAGGATCTGGTGGTCAGACGAATCTGACGGCTGAAGCGCAGACCAACCCGGCTGCAACAAGCGAGGAAACGACGACGATTGGAACCGCCGCCCTCGCACAGATGCTTCAGCGACTCACCAGCCTGGAGCAACAAATCGCAGTTCGCAACGGGCAAGCTCTATAGCGCATAGAGTTCACAATTTGCCGCCTCATTAGCCTCAACGATTCACACAATCACCAGCTCAGGAAGTATTTCAGTAAACTGGTACTAGCAAGTGGGACCCAATGCTGCTATACAATGGATGCGCAAACCTTCATCTACCAGTGCTACACTACCCCACTTACTATATCAGCACCACTCAGCACAGGGGGAAGGAGGCAGGGGAGGGCATTTGAAGTGGACTGCAGGTGGAATAGCACATTTCTACCTCTGCATGACTTGTAATCTAACAGCCAATGGTACAGTTCTGCACCACAAGTTGTTTGATTCTAAATAAACCGTAATTGAACCCCTCTAATGTATAAAAGTGTTGAGGCGACACCTGGTTCGATTCTTTTAGACCATTGGGGCAATAGCGGAGCCGCTAAGCAATTCGATCTGTCTGACACTTTACATCACCGTTTCCCGCGCGTTTACTGTATCGAGAACGTCTCGCCTTTTCAACAAACTGTGGTTGGCGACACGTACGCAACAACATCTGGCAGGAGGCACTTCAGGCATCTCACCACTTCTAATCCACCGCACTGCACCACGGCCTCACCAAGTATTCGGCTATTACATATTTCAGCTCCACCCTTCGGCCGTCACCATGATCGTTTGCGAAGAGTTGTCTCGCATCCGTCGCCGCGATGGGCTCTGCACGAACCGTCAGATCGCGGTCGCGGAGCTTCGCATCAGTCCTTCCGTGTTTCGCGGCGGTCGTCGTTGCTCTCCTGCCGCGTGTCGTCCAGCCCGTGACCCTCGCAGACTCTCAAGGTGCGCTAAGGAGTGCCTCTTTCAGTTCCCCACTGATGGCGCGGTACGATCAGCAAACTGAGCCCTCATGTGCATTCTCACACCAGCAGGTTCTAGCAAGGCCTAAGCGCCACGCCGATTCAGTTGTCCTTAACAGCTGGACCTCCCTTTCCCTCGTCCTCTACCTCTCCCTCACCCTCTCCCGCTCCTCCTCTCAAAACCCGTATTCCTCCTGTCCGCCTCGCCTTTCCTCCTTCGATTTCCCCCGCAATGGGCGCGCAGCGGCGGCGCTGAAGGAGTGTGCGGCGGAGTGGGGGATGAGCGCGGCGGAGTGGGCGCAAGGCGCAGACTGCGCGCCGGAGGAGACGATCAAGTGTGACGACGATGGCATGGTCACAGAACTGTGCGCACACTGGGGAATGATAGCGTGCGAAGGGGAGCACTTGCGGAAGCACGGGGGGAAGTGGGGTGGGGGAACGGGGGGGCGATTAGGGGAGCAGAGCAAGGGCAAAGGCGCGAGGGCGCGGGGAAGAGCGCGGGGTGCGATTAGGGGAGCAGCGGGACATTGCAGATGCGGATGGGCGAAGGGGCGAGGGCCATGAGAGCGAGAGCCGGGCGCACGCGCGACACTGACTGCCATGTAGTGCTGCTGCTGGCGCCCAGTGCTGCTGCTGCCGGCGCTCTGCATGCATGGCTTGTCAGCTTGAACCAGACCATGACACTCTCACCTCACATGCTTCATCCATCCATCGTGCCCGTCCATCGCGCCACGTGCATCATTGCCCCCTCGCTGCCTGTCTGCCCCTCCTCCCCAACCTCCCCATCACCCCTCTGCGCGCTGGGCAGGCACCTGAATTCAAAGAACCTCAATGGGTCCATCCCCCTCGCCCTCACCGCTCTCTCCCTCCTTATATCACTGTGAGCCGCACACACGCTGTGAGTCAAGGGCAGGGGGCCAGCCCATCATCTTGTCAGGGGGCAAGGCCTTGTGAGCCGCCTCGCCCTGCCCCGACAGCTGCCCTCTTGCTCTCCCCTCTCCCCACGTCACCCATCGTCACGCCACCCATCATCTTGTCACCCGTACCATCCCTCCTTCCCTATAGCCCTTCCCTTCCATTTCTCCCTCCCGTCCCCATTCCCCCCGGTGCTGGCAGGGATCTGCAGTCCAACAGTCTCTCCGGCCCTCTGCCCCCCGCCTTCTCCTCCCTCCCCCTGCGCGTCCTGTGAGCCTGTGAGGCGCACTGAGGCGCACTGAGAGGCGCACTGAGAGGCACCACCCCCCTGTGAGGCGCACTGAGAGGCACCACTCCCCTGTGAGGCACACGCCCCCTTGCATGTGCATGCGGTAGGCATGTGCACGTGGTCGGCATGTGCACGTGGCAGGCATGTGCACGTGGCAGGCATGTGCACGTGGCAGGCATGTGCACGTGGCAGGCATGTGCACGTGGCAGGCATGGGGTGCTTGAGTGACTATGAGGGCTGCTTGCTTGGTCTGTGATTGTGGCTGGTGATGCATGACCTTGTGTGTGTGTGTGCACGCCTGTGCGTGCTTGTGTTTCTGTTGGTGTGTATGTCTGTTCATGTGTGTCTTCATGTGTGCATGTGTGCATGGGCGCATGTGTGCATGTGTGCATGTGTGCATGTGTGCATGTGTGCATGTGTGCATGTGTGCATGTGTGCATGTGTGCATGTGTGCATGTGTGCATGTGTGCATGTGTGCATGCAGGAGGCTGAGCAACAACAACCTCACGGGCCCTGTCTTCACCGTCATTGCGCGCATGCCATCACTCGTCGAACTGTAACCCCCCACTCCTCCTCCTCCTCCTCCTCCTCCCCCTCCTCCTCCTCCTCCTCGTCCCCTCCTCCTCCTCCTCCTCCTCCCCCTCTTCCATTTTCTCCCTCCTGCTCCTCGTCCCGTCTCGTCCCCGCCAATCCATCTCCACTTACCTCTCTCCACCTTCCCCTCTCCACCTTCCCCTCTCCACCTTCCTCTCACCACCTACCTCTCTTCCACGTTCGCATTTTCTCCACAATCGCACCCGTGTTCCTCAACCCCCCTTCTCCCCCCTCTCCCCCCCTCCTCCTCCCCTCCTCTCCCCCCAGCGAGATCTATAGCAACAGCTTCACAGGGCCCATTCCACTCACCGTCTCGTGCCTGCAGAATCTCTCGTCTCTGTCAGCATCCCCCTTCCACTCGCCCCATTTCCCACCTGCATTGCCTCTCCGTCTCTCTTACTCTTCCCTGCCATCCGATGCCCTCCTGCCCTCTCCTTTTCTGTGCATCTTCCTTTCAGGGGACCTGCCCCTCCCATGCCACTTCTTTCCTTCCCCATGCCACTCACTTCCCTCCTGTCCCTGTCTCCCGCCCGCGTCCCTACCCTTCGTCGAAGTTTCAGCCACCCTCGGACATTCCACCACCACCACCACCACCACAGCACTCCCCTCTGTCTTCCCCATCGCCCTCCGTCCTCCCTCTCGCAGTCACCATCACCACAACATCCTCCATACGTGCTTGCATCCCCCCCCTGCCTGCTCTCCTCCTTGCAGCGTAATGAATTCCAACGACTTTCACGGGCCGTTTCCACCAGCCTTCACCCACCTCACAACCCTCGCCTACCTGTACGCCTCTCCTCTCTCCACCCTTTCCTCTCTCCACCCTTTCCTCTCTCCACCCTTTTCTCTCTCCACCCTCTCCTCTCCCCACCCTCTCCTCTCCCACCCTCTCCTCCGATTTCGATGCCGGCTTCATTCCCAACATGCCATGCCATGCCATGCCATCCCATGCCATACCATCGCACCCAACATTCCCTCCACACCCCCTCCCCTCCCCACACCGCCACAGGGGCATCGCATGGACGGGCCTCTCCGGCCCGCTCATCCATCACATCACCGCCCTCTCCTCCCTCACATCTGTGTAACGCGCGCCCCTCTTCCACTGACTTTCTGTAATGCACGCCTCGTTTTCCTTGAATAACTGTAATGTCCCTTGTAAGTCCTGTAGCACATGCTCCCTTCCTTCCACTGCAGTACCTGTAATGCATGCATCTCTTCGCTTGTGTGCCATGGCATCCCTGCACTTGCCATCGCATCCCTGCACTTGCCATCGCATCCTTGCACTTGCCATCGCATCCTTGCACATGCCATCGCATCCTTGCACTTGCCATCGCATCCTTGCACTTGCCATCGCATCTTTGCACTTGCCATCGCATCCTTGCACATGCCATCGCATCCTTGCACTTGCCATCGCATCCTTGCACTTGCCATCGCATCCTTGCACTTGCCATCGCATCCTTGCACATGCCTCCTCACTCTCCCTCTCATCTCATGTCCCACTGCTTGCACATGTTCCTTGTGCGTACGTGCTTGCGCCGTGCGTGCTGCACTGGCACCATCACCATCATCAGCTACGCGCCAGACAACAACATCTCAGGAAGCATCCCCAGCACCATTACTGCCCTCTCCCGCCTCGTGCCTGTTGGTTGCACACACAACCCCTACTCCTTCTTCCTTTTAATCATGCTGCTGTAATCAATAGTTCTCTAAATCTGGAAACAAACGTACACGTCTGTGCGTTGCAAGCAGCTCTAGTGCACCTCGCCCCTCCTACTCTTGCTTGTCTGCGCCCCTCTGGTGCTCTGCTGCTTTTCGTGGAGTGCTGATGGAGAAGGCTGAATGCGATTCTGATACGGCTGAATGCCAATCTTCAAGGGCAATCCTCCCCACCCCTTCCGTCCCCCCTCCCCATCCCTGCCACCCCTCTGCCCCACCCGCACGCACATGCATGGCAGGGTGCTGAGTCAGAACCCCTTCATCTCAGGCTCCCTGCCTCACGCCCTCTCTCGCCTCACCACCCTCCAGCACCTGTCAGCCCCCTCCTCCACCCCCCCCTGCCACTCCTCTCCGCTCCTCTCCCCCTCTCCCCCTCTCCTCCCCTTCGCGCCCCTGCTTAAACCCGACTCTTCACCCCTCTGCACCGCCTCGCACCACTCTGCCTCGCAGCTTCCTACAGCACCTGTTGTCTCCCCTCTCATGCACCTCTTCTCACTTTCCTCCCCCTCACTCTCGTCTTCCTCTGCTGCTGACATCCCTTCTCCCTTTCCCCTCTCCTCCCTTTCTTCCTCTTCCTCCGTCCATCCTTTCACGTCCAGATTTCTCTCTCTCCCCCTCTCCTCCCTCTCGTCCCCCTCACAAGCGCATGTCCCATCCCATGCCACTGCCTATGCTGCTACAATGCCGTCTGCCTCCCTGCTTTGCTTGCCATCCCTCATCTCCCCTCTCCCTCATGTCTCATCTCCCTCCTCTCCTTCATGCCTCATCTCCTCTTCTCCCCCGTGCCCCATCTCCCCTCCTTGTTTCATCATCTTCTCACCCCCATCCTCCTCACTTCCTTGCGAGTTTGAAGTGAGGAAGTTTTCGAAAACTTCCTCGCAATTTTGGGAATCGACACGCCGGAGGAAGTTTTGTGTGGAGAGACAATCGACGTCCGCTCTTGAATCACTTAATCAGGGTGTTGAACATTCTTTGTTAGATGGAATCACACATGTGAGATGCAACGCCCGAGAGCTTGCAGCCAGTCAGCAAATAGCAGGCTGATCGGAGACGTAATCTCGTTCTAGAAATAAGTGTACGTCAATGTACACGTGAGACCCCCCCCCTTCCTTCCCCCAGTGAGCTGGAGGGCACGGCCATTTCAGGCGAGCTGCCTCGCTTCCTCACCGCCCTCACACGTCTCATAAGCCTGTGCGTCCATCCCCACCCTCTGCGCCCCTCCCCACCCTCTGCGCCCCTCCCCACCCTGTGCGCCCCTCCCCACCCTGTGCGCCCCTCCCCACCCTCTGCGCCCCTCCCCACCCTCTGTGCCCCTCCCCACCCTCTGCGCCCCTCCCCACCCTCTGCGCCCCTCCCCACCCTGTGCGCCCCTCCCCACCCTATGCGCCCCTCCCCACCCTCTGCGCCCCTCCCCACCCTCTGCGCCCCTCCCCACCCTCTGCGCCCCTCACCACCCTCTACGCTCCTCCCTCCATCCCTCCCTGCACCTCTCTCCGCCGCTCTGCACCCTTTGTATCATTTCTACATCTCTGATTCGTTCCGTCCCCAGTCCATGCCATCTCAACCGCCTGCCATCTCAACCGCCTGCCATCTCAACCGCCTGCCATCCCTTCCAACCCACACCTTCCCTCCCATTCTGTAATTGCTTTCATTTCCTCCCCCCACCCCTCCCCTTCCTCCCCCGCTGTCCCGTGCTTTCTCTGTTTCCCAACCCGCATCCCACTCAGCGATGTGAGCAACACGAAGATTAATAAAACCATCCCGCCCACTTATGGAACCTTGAACTTGTGTGATTTCCTCCTCTTCTTTCATTTACCCGCGTAGCATTCTTTCTTCGTCTTCTTTCAATCATCCCAGTGCAACCTTCTCTTTCTCCTTCACCCCCTCGCAACCGTCTCATTCCAATCAACCCATTATCGCTATACATGTTTAAGAATATGTAACGATATAGACATAGAAACGTACACTCATTCATATCCCTCTTTAAACAACATTTCGATGGGTTTAGAAAAGCGCATACGAGGGTAGGCCACTGGTGAATACCACGTTTGTTAAGTATTCTACCCTTTTTTTTTTTTCCTCATCCCGCCCCTTGTTGTGTATCCTCCACCTGCCCTTCCTCTCTCTCAGTGATTTTTCAGGGCTAATTTGCCCAATGGACAACAGCAGCTGCGTCATCAATCAGAACCGTTCATCAACGTTTTGCAAGTTCTGTTCAACGTTCTGCTCCACGTGTATCCTGATCAACGGTCAGGATCGCCCCAATCATGCACCCAGCACTGCTACGATCGCATCACATCGACCATGCACATCACATCACGTGCGTCCTTGCCATGCTCTTCCCACTTTGAGTTGATTAACAGCGCTACGACTGTACCTCCCACGTTTTCTCTCTGCGAATTCGCTCTCCAGCATTCCCCACAAATTCCTCCCAACCTGTTCTTCCATTCTCAGGTTCCATTCTCCACCCACCCATTCCCTTTCCCCCCCATCCCATCCCCTCGCCCCACCAGCACCAATCCGCAGACCGCCTCCCCCTTCTCCCCCCCCTCCTCCGCCATACCCCTCCCCCCCGCCTCCCCCTCCCACCATCACCGTCCTCCTCGCCCCTCCTTCCCCTCCTCCCCCTCCGCCCTCCTCCCTTCCACCATCCGCGATTGCGGGGGCAGCAGCGGGTGCAGTGGCGCTGCTGCTGCTGCTGGTGGCGGTGGGATGGGGGGTATGGAGGTGGAGGAAGGGGAGGAAGGGGAGGGAGCAGACGGGGGAGGATTTGAGTGAGTGGGGGAGGGGAGAGGGAGAAAGGGGAGATTTTGATCGTATATGGCATGAAGACATGATTGCATGATGGCGTGATGCTGTGATGGTTGACACTTTCAATGCAACGTGTCGGCATGTGGTGTGCGTTGTTTGGAACGGTTTGTGAGTGGGACGTTTACCCTCTTCCTCATTCCCCCACCCCTCTTCTCCTCGCCTGCCTTCCCATCTCACCACCCCTTTTAACCCAGAATCCCCTTGCTCCCTCAACTTGTGTTAAAGGAAACCAAGCAAAAAAAACTGACAAACAAATCAACCAACCAACAAACAAGCAAGCAAACAAACAAATAGGAAAATATAGAAGCAAACCAACCAAGAAAGAGAGAAAGAAAGAAACAGGTCTCCCCTCTGCTTCTTTCTCAAGCATTTTCCCCGCTCGTTCCCCCCAGTCATTCTCCCACCAATTTTCCTTCTTCCCGCCTTTCCGCCGTCTCCCCTCCAGCTGCGCCCATGCTAAACCGCACACCCCCCTGCCCGCACATTCCCCTGGCTGACATCCTCAGCGCCACGAATGGGTGGGCGGAGGGGCGCAGGGTGGGGGGAGGCAGGTGGAGTGACGTGTACCGGGGGGAATGGGTGGAGGGGGGGGATGGGGGGGATGGGGAGAAGCATGGGAGGGAGGACGGAGGGAAGGATGCGGAGGAAACAGGAAAGAAGAAGCGGCAAGGGGGAGAGGTCTCGGGGGGGTCGAAGGGTAAGGAGGGGAGCGACAAGGGGAAAGAGTCACAAGGCAAGCAGCTGTCAGGGGCGAAGGTGTGGAAGGGGGGGAGGCGGGGGGACAAGTGGGCGGTGAAGCGCATGAGGGGGGGGGCGCATGGGGCAGAGAGGGCAGAGTTTGAGGCTCATGTGGCGGGCTTGGCTCGCCTCGGCCACCCCAACGTGCTGGCTCTCGTGGGCTGCTGCTGCTGCCCTGTGGAGGAGGTTGAGGGGAAGGGAGAGGCAACAGGGGAGGGGTGGGGGAAGCAGGAGGAGGTGGGGAAGGAAGGGAGGAAGCGGGAGGGGGGGAATGAGGTGGTGTTGGTGTACAAGTGGATGGAGCGGGGCAGCTTGCAGGCAGCACTGCAGCCAGGTGCTCTTTATAGTGTCAGAAAATTAGCTTCAATTGGTACACTGAAAGGAATGCTCTTGGTCTCAAGTACAAACGAATCTTGGTTGAGCAAGGAAAAGAATGGGATGTGGATCCAACCAAATCTCCAATGTTGAGTTGGCAGATTGGTTGAACAACCAAGTCAAACTCACAAGTCACCTTCATCACTCGCCCTCACAACTCGCTCTGTACCCATCCTCTCCTGCCTAGTCTCACAACAGCACCTCACGCCTGCCCCATGGCACCGACCTCTTGCCGTGCCCATCCACCCCCAAACTCCACTAGCAGGCGCCACACCCTTGTCGCTGCAGCAGCGGGTGGGCGTAGCAGTGGGCGTGCTGAGGGCGCTCAAGGCAGTGCAGAGCCACGGGCAGGTGCATGGCGACCTCAAGCCCTCCAACGTGCTGCTCGGGGCCTCCTTTGAGGTGCGCGCCATGCTTTGCGTCCTGCATGCATGCACGCCCCATTGAGTCCACTCACGAGCCATGCGCAGGTACTTCAACATCTGCGACGTGTTGCTCGGAGCCGCCTTTCAGGCGCGTGCCCTGCCTTCGCAACCACACTATCTTGCTGTCATGAGTGCATGGATGCCATATCTTGACGTTTGACTCAACGAAGGTGTATGGCGCCCTTGAACAAGTGTCATTTCGTTCAACCAATGGATGCCGTATTAAAGAAAAAACATTCGCCAACTAAGAAAGCCTCCTCGTTTCAATGCCCCTCCCGCTGAGTCAGCATGGTGGCGCCATGCCCCATCCGTGCTCGCATCAAGCCCCGCCTCTTGCCGCCTGCACAGCTCCCCCCCCGCCTCACGCCCCTCCTTCCTCCTCCCTCCTTCTCCCAGCCGCGTGTGGGCGACTGGAGTGTGGTGCGCATGGGGCGGCGAGTGCACGTGGACATGGCCGATGGCTTGGAAGGGCACCGGGAAGGCTTCTTCGCAAGCGGGAGGGGGGACGACAGGGGCACCAGTAGCAGTAGTAGCAGCACTAACAAGGGAAGCAGCAGTTACAAGAGTGATAGTAGCGGGCATTCATGGAGCTCCGATAGGAGTGGCAGCAGGCGCAGCAGCAGCAGAAAGAGCAGTAGCAGCAGCAGCAGCGGCGGAGGCGGGCAGAAGGTGTATTTGCTGCGGTGCACGGAGGGGCATGTGGACCCGGCTGTGGTGCACACCGGCATTGCCACTCCCACCAGTGACATGTACAGGTGGGGCTTTAATTCCACGCATCTCATCAATCACAATCACCGGTAGGGTTTTTACCTTACGTGCCTCTCCACCTGCAATCCAACTCTTTCAATGTGTTGCCTGGCTGAGAGGAATGAGAGGTGGTGTGTGTACCACTCCCCCTCACCCACCTGCACTAGATGCCATCCTCCCTCTCCCTCCTCTCCAACCTCTCCCTTTCTCCGCTCCCTCTTCCCATCTCCACCCCTTTTGACCTTCCCGTTCTAATTCCACCCTGCGTTGGCCAGTGTGGGAGTGCTGCTGCTACAGCTGCTCACAGGGTGGGCGGGTCCCTTCAGGGATGTGGATGGGCAGCGCATCCACATCTATCACTGGGTGCGTGGGGCTCTGGCGTGGCATGAAAGGGCATTCTATGGCAGGCATGGTATGGCATGGTATGGCATGGCATGGCATGGCATGGCATGGCATGGCATGGCATGGCATGGCATGGCATGGCATGACATGGCATGGCATGGCATGGTATGGCATGGGGTGGCATGGGGTGGCATGGGGTGGCATGGTATGACATGGTATGGCATGGGGTGGCATGGGGTGGCATGGTATGGCATGGTATAGCATGGTATGGCATGGGGTGGGCAGCCAACCACATCTATACCTGGGTGCATGGGGCTCTGCCGGTCAGGGTGTTAGTGTCTGGGATGGCATGGCATGGGGATGGCATGCCGTGGCATGGCATGACAGGACATGACATGACATGGCAGGGCAGGGCGGCGAAGGGTATGGCGGGGCAAGGCAGGCAAGGCATGGCAGGGCAGGGAAGGGAAGGGCAGGGAAGGGCATGGCAGGGCATGGCATGGCATGGCCCACCTCCCCCTCCTCCCGCTCCCTCCCTACCCCTGTGCACCTCCCCATCTCCTTCCCCTTCCCTTGCCCACCTCCCCCTCCCCCTCCCCCCCACCTGCAGGCCCAACAGCACCTAACAGCCGGTGACATATCCCCTCTTCTTGACCCCCTGCTACCGCCCCCCCGCCCCTCTCCCGCCCTCCTCCTCCCCCTCTTCCACCTCGCCCTCGCCTGCTCCTCCTCCCCCTCCTCCCGCCCCACCCCCACCTCTGCCCTCGAAGTTTTCAGGCCCTTCCGCTCCTCCCTGCTTGATCGGGTGAAATCAGGGGACAGGGAGGGGGGAGAATGCGGGGAGGGGGGAAAAGGGGAGGGAGAAGAAAAGGGGGAAAAGGGAGAGGGGTAAGGGGGAAAGGAGAGGGGAGAGGGGGAGGGGGGAGAGGAAGAGGGTAGGGGAGAGGGGGAGGGGGGAGAAAAGGGAGAGGATGTGGGGGAGTGTGAGAGGGGGGAGAGTGGGGGGAGATGGAGTGGGTTGTCCATAGAGGAAAGCTCTGAGGGACCAGGGAGATGGAGCGGTGGCAGTGCGCTGGGTGCCAGGCTGGCGATGCTGGGAGCAGTGGATAGTAGGGAGTACGTGCTGTAGACGTGCAAGCATTCTCTGCCTGTGTATACTGGATGAGGGATTATCTATCCATATAGAGGGCATGCGTCATCTATCCATGTACACTAGAAGACGCACTCAGGTGTGCCATCATGCCACCTTGCCATCTTGCTTCTCTAAGCAATTGCACAGGCCTCAACCACCTGTCGCAGGATGATGGAAAAGTGGCTAAAAACGAAAATATAGGGGCCAATATCATAGCACATTATTGCAAGCTGCGATTGTTGAGATATGAACTTTTATGAGAAGACATTCCTGTACGCTGCAGGAGCCGACTCTACCGAGTACGAAGTCAAGGAGTCAGAACAGTCGAAGCGACACCAGCAACTCTCTCAACGAGACCTATGCAGGCAGAAACATATGAAGTGGAAAAGGCGTGAACATGTTTGAAACGGATTTTCCCGCGCCGCACAGTTTGAACCGCTGCAATAAGGGGATGTAACCCCTTAGAGTACATGGCTAGTCTAGGTCGTTTCACATTCCTTTGTATTTCTTATATAACACGATGTATGCTGCTACCGGTATTATCATCTCAGTCATTTACATTCACTCTGACCTGAGGTCAACACTTCCGCTGCAACTCTACCTGCGAACAACCCTAAGCCGATCCCTGGCTAAGGGTACATTCCTGTGGGGACACTTGTGTCTCAATCCCCTTTTCCCCGAGTCGCGCATGCAAATTTACCAAATGTTGTGTCACAAACGGCAAATGTACCGCGACTTAAGGCGACTGATTGGCAGGTACAAATGGACGCTTTCTAGTGGTTGCGACCAATTGGATTGGGCCCACCCGTTTTCCCGCTGGGCAGGGTGCCAAAACAGCGTGCATGAAGTGATATTCTGATTTTGCTTGGATGTGACCGTGTGGGCGGGGAGCACCAGTCGTTGGTCTGCCCGGGCAGAGCGGTTTCTTTTCCCGCTCGAATATGGACCCACTTCGGGCGTCCAGGTGCATGCGGTACAGCAAGACATTTCGACACGCGTGCGACTTTCAGAGTGTGACGGGGCCTCGTGTAACTCGTCCGCGACACCAGCGCAATTCACGCCGACCAATGTAAAATACAGTGAAAATCGCACTAGTGTGATCCGCGTTTGTGACACAGTACAGTATATGCTGTTTTCGCGTGTCACAAAGTGATTGAGACACAAGTGTCCCCGCAGGAATGTACCCTAAGTCCTATTTAGGATTGTACGAACCCCGTGAGAAAGGCAAGGAAGGTTATAAGGGCGTATCCCTGGGTGGTGGCAGGGCCACTGTAGCAGGCACTGTTGGTGGCATGCGGGAAAACCGCATGCCACCAACATTTTGCCCGAAGCGTGCGCGACACGGAATTGGTGGCATTGAAATGACATTTCTGGGACATTGCCCAATCACGAATCTGTATTTGCGTGCCAAGTTTCCTGACACCAACCTGGCGTTTTAGGGGTTCGTGGCAGGCTGCCATCTACAGTGGCCCTGCCACCACCCAGGGATACGCCCTAAGTCCAAGAAGTATTGGTATGTGAGACTCTAATGGGCATGGGCATTCGCTGTATACTCAAATAATGCCAGTGAGGTTTTCAGGACGAGGTAAAAATGTTGGATCAGGTGTAATCACCAACGGAGACATTTGTTTCGCGTGGCGATCCTGTGTCATTTCGCTCATTCAGTCACTACACAAATTTGGATCGAGTCGCAAACCAGACCTGTAGCACTTGGAAAGAAACACAGACCCGTAGGAAACCTGGACAGATTTCGGGATGGGACGGGTCAAACCTAAACACGGGAAGCCGCCCGACGTTTAGGGCTTTGATCCCTTTACGAAGCACTTTTTCCCTACCCATACCTTAAAGCCCAAGACCTGAATTACTAAAAAGGGAAGGCAAACTGTGTCAAATTATATGCATGTTATATATGTGTAGGCTGTAGTGGGGTAGCCAATATGGGGTACAACCCCTTTTAGGGTTTCATATTTGTACCCAATACTTTCATAGTTCCAAAATTCCTGCTGCTGGATTCTAACATGGTATCAGAGCACTAGGTCCTAGGCCAGAGCGCCGCCCCTGCAGGCCCGTAAGGCCCGCGCGCCGCCCCTGCAGACACGTCAGGCCCGCGAGCCGCCCCTGCTGACGCGTCAGGCCAGGTCGCCGCCCCACGCGTCGCGCCCACAGCCCGCGCGTCGCGCTGCAGCCCCGCGCGTCGCGTCCGCTGCCCGCGCGTCGCGCTGCAGCCCCGCGCGCCGCGGCTGCCGTCCTCGCGCAGCCCGCGGCGGCTTCACGCGCCGCGCACGCAGCTCGCGTAGCGCGCTGCAGCCCCGCGCGCCGCGGCTGCCCCTGTTCGTCGCGACGCCCCCCCCCCTGGACGCCGCCCCCCCCCACTTCCTGACTGCCGCCGTCGCTCCTGCAGCAGCTGCCGCGGAGCGCCCTGCCACAGTCGCGGCCCCGCCCTGCAGCAGCTGCCGCGGAGCCTTCTGCCGCCGTCGCGGCCCTGCCGTGCAGCAGCTGCCGCGGCTGCCGCGGAGCCTCCTGCCGCCGTCACGGCCCTGCCCTGCAGCAGCTGCCGCGGAGCCTTCTGCCGCCGTCGCGGCCCTGCCCTGCAGCAGCTGCCGCGGAGCCTCCTGCCGCGGTCGCGGCCCCGCCCTGCAGCCGTCACGTCCCCGCCCTGCAGCAGCTGTCGCGGACCTGCCCTACCGCCGACGCGGCCCTGCTCTGCCGCAGCTGTCGCGGCCCCGCCGTCGCCGCCGTCGTGCGCCTGCCCTTCTCGCCACTGGTGAGCACCTGCCTTGTTCGCGCACTGCCGCGCCACCTGCCTGCCTGCCTGCATGCCTGCCACGCCTGCCTGCCTGCCTGCCTGCCTGCCTGCCTGCCTGCCACGCCTGCCTGCCTGCCTGCCTGCCGCGCCTGCCCTGCCCGCTCTGCTGCTGCTGCAACTACTGCTACTACTGCTACTGGCGGTGGCCAGATGCAGCTCCAGCGACGTTCACGCGAGTCTCTCACGCCCCAGCAGCTTAGTGAGTGGTACGCTAGTTGGGGTTGTGGCGGTAGCCGTCGTAGCTGTCGCCCTGGAGCTGGTCAGTTGGGAGCGTCTGGCAGTGGCCAGCTGCAGCTGCAGCGGCGTCCACGCGAGACACTTACGTCCCAGCAGCTTCACGAGTGGCACGCTCAGAGTAGAGGGTCTCGGAGTACCGTTCGCTGCCCGTACGTCATTCGCACAGGTGATCGGGCTGGTCAGGCTTGCGGGACACTTGGTCACACACAGTCCCGCTACTTCGCCCGTCTGAGCGACGCCTGGCGTACCGAGTTTGGCGACGAGGCTGAGCTCCCCACCTGGCTGGAGCTGCTTGGGCAGAGGGTAGATATCTTTGCTCTTGACTATGATGCTATTCTCACTGCCATGTATGCATTGCCTACTAGTGCTGACCGTGCCTGTTCCCTGTGCATACCGCCTGACCCAGGTATAGAGCCTGCTGCTCTAGGTGCTAGTGAGGCTGCTGGTCTAGGTGCTAGTGCGTCTCCTGCTCTAGGTGCTGGTGAGGCTTCTGCTCCAGGTGCTGGTGAGTCTGCTCTCTCTGGTACTGCGACTGCTGAGGCCTTGTACACCTTCACGCTTGACTCAGGTGCTTCTCGCTCCTTCTTTCGCGACAGCACCACCCTCACGCCGCTCCGTCGGCCGGTGAGCAGTCTCCCTGGAGCGGCCGTCTCCGTAGTCGCTCCGCTGGTGCCTCGCCGCTGCACTCTCGTCGTCGTCTCCCTCTCTCCCCTCGGCAGCTGCGTGAGTGGTACGTCAGCCGTCAGGGTCGAGCTGCTGGAGCTAGGGGCCCTGCTGCGGGAGGCGCTGGAGCTGGTGACTCTGCTACTGGAGTTGTTTCTACTGGAGGCCCTGGAGCTGGAGGTGCCGGTTCTGGGGGTGCTACTACTGGT